TAAATACATAATTTGAAACACCCCTCCAGTTGGATAATATAGTTTGCATCTAATTCCAATATCATTGAGGAAAGACCCAATTACAGGCATTTAAAAACGTAATCAGGAACAATGTTGCATTCCCATTTTCAGCAAGTTGTTACAATCGCAGATATCAGTGACAATTTAGATAGCTCTTGACTTGATCCAGATGTGAGTAGTCCCGGGGTGTGAGACAGCTCGGTGTGTGCTAAACTTGCTGTTTTCTTCAGAGGTAGGTTGATTACAGGAAAGCCTTTAGCTATGTCAAAACAAAACAAAGCAAAACAAAAGATCCCCAGCTCACCTCCCCTCTACGTTCATGAACTTGGCACTCGGACAAGGCTGAGATCCGAAAGCTGTCCAGGAGCTGCATTGGTTTTGGTTATTTGGGATTTTTGTTGTTGGTTTTTTGTTTTTTAATTAAATTTTTCTGAAATATTTCAATTCTTCCTGAATGAAGGAAAAAAAAGATATGCTTGCCAAGCTTCTAATAAAACTGACAGATCTTGGAAAGAAAAAAATACAGGTTTCATCATCTTAAAAGTGACTGTGTGTTGAGGAGAAAAGCCTCACCGGAAATTTTCTGCCTCTTCCAGGTGACCTGAGTTGTGAGCCCTCCTGCCGCAGCCTGAGGCAACTAGTTGTGGGCCATTATTGATGAATTTGGGTGTTTCCATGTTCTGAATCTTCCACATCCACTTTCCTCTGGACCTGCTTGGTTTCAGCAACTTTTAATTTTGTGGTTTATTGCTCTGGTGTCCCATCCTCCAGGATTTCTGTATGGATGTGGCATTTTCTGCAGCATCCCTCCCCTAGTATAGGATGATTCCCCAGCCCATGTGTGCGCATCCAAGGCTGTAGAAATCCTGCTGGTGGCTTTTTATTGAACAATTTTGGGCGGGAGTCCCATTTTTTTGAGGGTCAGGGCAGGTAGTGGGAAAACTCATGGTCTGTCAGGCTGGTTGGCGCATTGGGAAGTAGCTGGGATGATGCTTTTGTGGAGCACGCTCCTTCCTCGCTGAGGGATGTGCTGGTAAAAGTCAGGGCAGCCCCTCAGGAAAATTCGGGAGGGTGTAAAAAGTACGGGGAAAAAAAATAGTTTTCCACTGGGAATGTGTGAATAATGTGGTGGTTGGGTGGTTTTTGTTTTTTTTTTTTACAATAAGCTTGCACAATGTGCTGGGGGAGGCCTGACGGAGCCCCTGGGCAGGGTGTAATGCAAACCATGGAAAATAGTAATAAACCAATGATAGCAGCAAATGGAAGGATGCTTAATAATGAAATAATAGCGCGAGTGTTTATAGCATTGAACATTATCATTGTTTGCTGGAATATGGGAATGCTCCCAGTTTGCTGGGAGCTTTCCAGGCATTTAGAAGGAGATGTGTTTGCTCTGAGGAGCTCGTAAGAATGATGTTTTTAACTCAAAACAAGAATCCCAATGTGTTTCTCAGCAATTTCTGGGCTGTCACGCATGAGGATACGTTGCTGGTGATGTGGCTGCAGATTTCCCAGGACTGGGGTTTTGTGTGGGTTTGTGACAGTCGGAGGTGGGAGTTGGGTGGTGGATCCAGATGAAGCCTGCGGGGCATTCTGGACCAAAATCCATCTATATGCTTCCTTTTCCCAGACACATAGTCATTGCCACCAAAACAACCTTTTGGGGAAAAAAAATCTATCCCTGTAGGAAGCACCTCTGAGTCACTTTTTCCTCCCCTCTTTATGATATCCTCTTCTGCCTCTGCCGACTGAGTGATGCCACTGGCTTTTCCCACCCCTTTTCCGGGCAGACGCCAGATTCAGGGAGACAGGTGGGAGCATGGAGGCTCCACCGGGGTCCCAACAACCGTGAAAAGCAGCTTTGGTGGTGGCTGGCAGGGAGGCCTGATCCTGTTTATCCGAGCTCAACCTTTATATTCTCATGGCTTTTTGACTAGACATCCAGTCAACACCGAATCCCGCAAACGGAAGAGGCTCTGGCATATTTATGCTGAGTGCTGGCATTGGCTCCTTAAGGAAAAAAAAAAACGTGGGATTACCTAAGATTTGTCCTTGAGGTCTGGTCACCCCATGTCATTGAAAAACCGAGTGGGATTCATTCATGAACTTCCAGCCCTCCATAAAGGTCTGTTCATTCATAGCCAAGGCAGTTTTCTCCTTTTTCTAGTTATTTATTTATTTAAAATGCGCAGGCAATTAAATGGCTCTTTGTAAGTGGCAGTGAGCTATTTGTTACGTGGTCTTCGCTAATGCAGTCACAAATACCAGGTGAAAAAGTCTTTTCCCCTGACTCTTCCTGACAGGGCTGCCTTTCCGCTCAAGTAAATAAAAAAAAATACAGGAATTTCAGCGGGGTTCAGTGGCTGTTCAGAATGCCTTCAACCGCTGCAAAAGGAAACCCAAGAAGCTCTGAGAATCGCTGGCAGGCAGGAGGGGAGTGATGGGTGGTTGAGATGGGGATGGATCCAGGAGCATCTCCCCCAAAGGTGATGGTCTCCATCTCCCCATCTCCTGGCATCCCCCCGCTGAGTTTCCTTCATTTTCCAGGCAGGTGTGGGAAGTGCCATCCCGGGATGGTTCTTATCCCTGTGGGTACACCCTTTTCAGCCAGGAAAGGGTTAAATCTCTTATCAGTGCTGCTCCCTGCATCCAGGAACACAGCTTTCTAGCAGCCACAGTAAAGAGAGTTAACCCTTTCCTGGCTGAACC